CCCCTCCCCCGCCGCTACTCACCCCGCGCGCCGCCGACGGGGCTTCCCCCCGGCGCAGGGGACGCGGCCGGCCCGCGCGCTGGCGCCCCCTCCTGGGCGGAGGCCGCCAGCGCGAGCGGGAAAGCGGCCGGGCCCCGCCCCGCCCCGCCCGTCCCCTCAGGCGGCCGGCGGAGGCCGGGTAGGTGAGAGGGGTGTTACAGAGTCATAAAATGGTTCGGGTTGGAAGGGACCGTAAAGATCGTCGAGTTCCAGCCCCCCTGCCCCGGGCAGGGACACCTCCCACCACACCAGGTTGCTCCAAGCCCCATCCAGCCTGGCCTTGAACCCCTCCAGGGATGGGGCAGCCACAGCTTCTCTGGGCAACCTGTTCCAGTGTCTCACCATCCTCAGAGTGAAAAATTTCTTCTTGATATCTATTCTAAATCTACCCTCTTTCAGTGTGAAGCCATTACCTCTCATCCTATGCCCTTGTAAAAAGTCCCTCTCCATCTCTCTTGTAGGCCCCCTTCGGGTGCTGGAAGGCTGACATAAGGTCTCCCTGGAACCTCCTTCAGGCTGAACAACCCCAACTCCCTCAGCCTGTCCTCACAGCAGAGGGGCTCCACCCCTCTGAGCATCTTCATGGCCTCCTCTGGACCCACTCCAACAGGTCCATGTCCTTCCTGTGCCAAGGACTCCAGAGCCGGACACAGTGTTCAGGTGGGGTCTCACCAAAGCAGAGCAGAGGGGCAGAATCACCTCCCTCGACCTGCTGACTCCTGGCCTGGGCTTGTGGGTCCTCTTCACCAAGCTCCAGATAGTAAGCGTGAGGTGAGGGAAAAAGCTGTCTCGGATGGAATGGGAGCTCCTCACTGCCGAACCACCCCTCAGAGCCTGGGCAGGCTCCATCCCTTGTGACACCCCAACCTGGTGGGCATGGAGTCTTGGCACCCTGTAAGGGCCAATCCCTGGTAATCTCCTACAAACCCCCTCGAGAGCTGTACAAGATTCGCCCAGTTAGTGCAGATCTTGGTAGTCAGGATAGCAGCAATTATTTTTTTAACTTGGGAAATGGAAAAAGAGAAGCATGAGATTCCCCTGTCCATTGATCCCAAGTGCTGGGATTGGGAAGGGGTGTTTCGTGTGGAGATGTGTCTCTACAAGTGAGGTTCTTTGAGCAGAAAAACAAGATCTGATTTAAGCTTCTGGTTTCTGGTATTTAGACCTGAACTCAAGATTTCAGGTGTCTGGAAAGTCCTGGTTATGTAAACGCTGCTTTGCGGTGGTGTTTTGTTTCCTATTATTTGTAAACAGTAAAATTAATAAGATTACCTGAGTCCAGAGGACACAAAGTCCATGCAATCGCATCTTCCTGCTCATGCCTCCCCTCTACTGACTTTGATGTCACTGGGCAGTTTAAGCCAGGTTAGAAATAAGGGTAGAAATTTAAGTTTTGGGTAAAACCAGTACCTGGGGGCTATGGAGAAACCTGGATTAGTGCTCCCCTAGGTAACAGGCAGGCAGAACTGAGATGTGACGGTTATTATTACAGAGATTTAGCTGCTGCCAGCTGAAGGATTAGTACAGATGTAGCTCATGACTCACCAACCCAGCTCACATTTCACAGAATCACAGAATAACAGAATGATATGGGGTTGGAAGGGACCTCTGGAGATCATCTAGTCCAACCCCCTGCCAGAGCAGGTCCTCCTAGAGCAGATTGCACAGGTGCGTTTGGAATGTCTCCAGAGATGGAGACTCCACCACCTCTCTGGGCAGCCTCTTCCAGGGCTCTGCCACCCTCAAAGGAAAGAAGTTCCTCCTCATGCTTAGGTGGAACTTCTTATACTCAACTTTGTGCCCATTTCCTCTTGTCCTGTCACTGGGCACCACTGTCCCCATCCTCCTGACACCCACCCCTGAAGTATTTATAGGTGTTGATCAGTTCCCCCCTCAGCCTTCTCTTCTCCAGACTAAAAAGACCCAAGTCCCTCAGCCTTTCCTCATAAGAGAGATGCTCCAGGCCCCTCATCATCTCTGTAGCCCTCTGCTGTACCCTCTCCAGCAGTTCCCTGTCCTCCTTTAACTGGGGAGCCCAGAACTGGACTCAGTGCTCCAGATGGGACCTCCCCAGGGCAGAGCAGAGGGGCAGGATGACCTCCCTCGACCGGCTGGTCACACTCTTCCTGATGCACCCCAAGATGCCCCTGGCCTTCTCCATTTCTGAAGGGTGTGTGAGAGGATTTTGATGGAGCATCTGGTTATTGCAGCCAGGGAGGCAGAGAGGGGGGTCAAATACAAATGTAGAGGTGTCCAGGCTCTCAGAACCACTTGCTCCATGTTTCTTTTGCAGTAAAGGCAAAGTAATAGGGTATTGTAGATTAACACATGCCTTCGAAATCCAGATGGAGTACCTAAAGAATTTTTTTTTTTTTTTTTCTGTGTGTAAATATCATGAGGTGAGAAAAATAGCAGGGAAATAAGTTTTGGTGTCAAGAGAGGATTGAGCGGTACGTCTGGGTTTTGTGTCAACATTTAATTCACAACATGCCATCTGCTAATCTGGTAGCTATTGTTTTGGCAGCATATGCCACACAGCTGTTGTTTGGAAACCATTGAGTAGGAAGTCACGTCTGAGTGAAGGTTGCTGCTCCCGTTTGTTTTCATGTTTGTGGAATTGAAAGAAGCCGAAACAAGGGGTTTGCATGAGCCTTGGTTTTTGGGAAGGGGGCTTGGTTTTTTTGAGGGAAGGGGGAGTTTTTACAGGACTATAGGAGGCGTTCTGTGTACAGCTCCCAAATAATTGACGTATTATATACAGGAATGCAAAGAGTTTCCATCACCACACTGAGAAGCACACTTGCACCTCTTCCCAGCCATTACTGTCATTAACTGACCCTATCCATGCAGATAAAACTTCTGACCCAAGGCCAGCCTGGGTCATAATGATATTTTCCAGGTGGTAGATGGGTTTATCCCAAAATACATTTGCCTGATACTGGTGGTTAGGATTGTTAGATTGCTGACAGTTCTCTAGCACTTCCCATCTTTCCTATAAAGGACCCAAACATCACAGATGGGGGAAGAAATCATACACAGTGCAAAGAACACCGCCAGCTGGAGAGAAAGTACTCTCTGTAGGCAGAGTTGTGGGATAAAGCTTTATGCATAGAAAGGGAAGAAGCAGAGAGGGACTTAGAAGCAGGGCTGGGTGAGTGCTGGTGCTCAGCATACATTGAGCAGGTGCCAACTATCCACATTAACTCTGCAGTGAAAAAACCCTTGAAGTGCTTACTGTTTCCAGTTTTGCTTTATGACCGTGGGAAAGCACCTTATTTGATCTTTAATATGAATGTTATATTGCTATCATCTGACCCGACAGGATGTTGAAATGCTCAATCCATCAAAGCTTATGAAGTTGTCTGGCATCTTTTTGTAGAAGAGACTCTGTAAAGGGTAAAACTGTAAACGTCTGTGGTATTTCTGAGTCACCCATCCTCTTAATATCTGAGCATCACCCCTGAAAAGTAACCATGCAGAAAAACCTTCCTTTTCCAAACTGAAGGCAGTTACTGAGATTTATATTCCTTTAAATAAATTCTTTTGGGACTCTGCGTTTGGTGTTGCGCTGTGTGCTGCGGCCATTCAGAACTTAATGGCAGCTTCTGATTTGCTTGAGACTCGCATCCTTTTATCATTTGAGCTGCAGAAGAGCCTCTGCAGGGAACAGAGCAAACCTGACACTGTGTCCCGCTCGTTGGAGTGTGACACCCAGCTTATGCAGTCCAGGGAGTAGCAGTGTCCCTCTGCGCCTTTGCTGATTCACCTCGCAGCTCCTGCTTATTTCGAGTGCCACACAGGAACAGAGAGTCACACTGTCTTCAAAATAAAGATAGGATGCCTTGAGCTACCGATAAGTTTACCCCTGCTTTAGAGACACACTTACAGAGCTGTTGTGGACAGCAACAATTCTTTTTTACCTCAACATTGTGACTTCAGCACTGGTATGACTTGTAGTGACAGGGGCAACTTCCATCGTGTGTTTGTTAGGGTTTTCATATGTTAATGTCCAGTGTGTATTTGCATTCCTGTTTTTCCCGATTTTTACAATGTTTTATACACTGTGAGTTTCACAGTATTTTAATTAGACTTGGCAATTGGGACTTTTTTTTTGTCCTGAACAAGTCTGGGGGAGAAGGGAAAGCAAAAATTAGAAGTTACAAGTGCTTCCTCCCCCTTACTCACAGCAAATAGTGAGAGGAGCAATTATTGCACTGAGGCGTGGGAAACAGTACTGCCATATTAAGGACATAAATGCAGCAGAAGAAACAGAGATCTCCAGCTGGACAGAGGTGGCATTGAGAACTTGCTTTCAGCTCATGTCAGTCTCAAGAGCCCTTGTGCTGCTTTTCAGCTCGTTTGTATCCTTCCCACTGAAGGAAAGCAGAGTTTTCAACAGCCGCATGCAGTGATTGGGACCCTACCGCTGACAATCCAAAATGCTTTTAAGGCAATATGCATTTTAAAACAAAAATCTGTTGGAGTGACTCTTCTGTGTTTCATAACATCGTGTGCATGTCTTCTCTCACACTTGTTAGCCAGCTGTGTCTCCGAGAGACAAACAAAGCACCCAGCCGTGCTTTCCAGCAAAGATTAAAGCAATTGTTATTTTTCATACACTGATCAAGCTTCTAAATCTTTTTAACTGAATTCAATACGGAAGGGGAAAGGCACTTTGTTTAGTTCTGCTTTCATTAATGAGCGGGCAAATTGTTTCTGACTGGGAAGAGAATAATATCAAAACCGAAAACATCCCCTCTGGATAGAAAAAGCGAGTTTCTACTGAAAAGGAAGAGCAGAAAAA